AATAGTTACTGAATCATTCGTAGTCAACCCAGAATAATTCATAGTACTTACTGAATAGTTCATAGTAGATAGTGACTAATTCACAGCAGTTACTGAATAATTCATAGTAGGTACAAAATAACTCATAGTAGATACTAAATAATTAATAGTAGTAACTGAATAATTCTTAGTAGACAGTGAATAATGCATAGTAGATAAAGAATAATTCATATTAGTGACTGAACAATTCATAGTAGATACTGAAAAATATACAGGAGTTACTGAAAAATGTACAGAAGTTACTGAATAACTCATACTAGATACTGAATATTTCATAGTAGAAAGTGAATAATCCATAGTAGATACTGAATAATAGATTGTAGTTACTAAAAAATGCGTAGTAGATACTGAATATTTCATAGTAGACAGCGACGAATCCATAGTAGTTACTGAATAATTCATAGTAGACACTGACTAATTCATAGTAGATAGTGACTAATTCATAGCAGTTACTGAATAATTCATAGTAGGTACTGAATAATTCATAGTAGATACTAAACAATTCATAGTAGTTACTGAATAATTCATAGCAGATAGTGAATTTAGTGAATTTCTATTTAATTAGTTTTTCTGTGTTATATGTTCTTGGTTCTAAGTTTTAAGTGTGGGTGTGTTCATAGTATAAGCTTCACCCACCAACCCACCCCAACTTAATGTTCAAGTCCCAGAAGTCTAGTTTAGATCACTGACAGTTTCCACTAAAGACAGTAAATGAGAGACACTCTGGAGAGAGCGAGTGAGAATCAGCCAGTCTGCTTTATGTTTTCAGATATTTATGTGACCATTTTTACTAATACGGTATTAAAACTGCTACCTCTTATTAATCAGGGAATTATAATTAAGAGTTTTAAAGGTTAAGACAGGTCATTCTTTTCAGTGCAGTGCAAAACATGTTCATGTTCCTGTGCAGGTTTTGAACAGCATTAGTTGTAAAATAAAGCAACCTACTGCTCCATGCTCCACCGGCCAACTTATTAGTAATTAAATCTGCATCGGAGCGTTTTTTTTTTCGCATTTCTATTCCGCCGCTGCCGTCGCCAGTCTAGCGGGATGTTTGCCTTCAGCCTTCTGGAGAAAGTGCTGAATCTGGACTTCGGGAAATCACCAAGGGAACAGAAAAGCTACAGCACTGCGCATTTAAAGACTATTTATTCTGCAGGTCTGAAATAAATAAAGGTTGAATTTTGATGAATGGAGACAAGCTTTCATTAGGACGCCACATGCTGCAAACTGGCAGGTAAAAAACATAGTTAACCCTGTAATTCAGTGTTTGTCTAAATGTTTGATGATTTACCTCATTAGATGCATCAGGGGAAATAAAACAAATCACTGGTAGAATAATCAGCACTGTAAAGGAATACTCCAGAGGTTTTCAAATCTCAATCTGCTGCATCTGTAGTGTGAGATTGATCATTTTGACACATTTTCTTGAGCTCAGAAAAGCTGACCACTTCAAACTCATAACAGAAACTACTGCACAGTTGCTGTCTGTAAACATTTTTTGTCTATTATGTCATATTTTTGTAGACTACAGCTAGGTTTTCACTGACTTTCTGCACCAACTGCATATGATAAAATTGGAATGCACTGTCCAGCAGCTTGGATCCATCAAACTGATGCTGACCTTCCTATAACCTAAAGATAAGGTCATTCTGTTTATTTTATCCAAATTTATTTATTATTTATTATTATTATTATTATTATTATTATTGTTATTATCACCATTATTTTAATCAGAAGCATAAGACATTCCTCTGCCTTATAGAGCTTTTTGAGTAATTTTAAAGAAAAAAAAAACCTCGACATTCCGAAAACATTACATTTTCCATGGCCTACAACCACCTGGAAGACCTGAAAGACCACCAAAACTGCCCCTATCAGATAAAAGGCACTTAAAGCTTTCATCTTTGAGAGAGCAGAGAAAATCAAGCTGCTTCAGATCTGAAAACATCCACAGGTGTTTCTGTCCATCCTTCCACTGTGAGAAGACAACTCAGCGCTGTGGGTCTGAAACGATGTGTAGCTGTCAAGAAGCCTCACTGAGAAAAGGAGACAGACACATCAAACAAAGAAGCTGAACAATGGACTGACCACCCCAGAGTCCAGACCTCAACATCACTGAATGTGTTTCGATTACTTCAGAAAATGATCAACCAACTTCTAGGACTGAACTTTGGAGGTGTGTCTGCAGATTTCTTTGAGAAACTGAAAGTGAGTCTCCTGAAAAGAATGGAAGCTGTAATGAAGGTAAAGAGTGACACACTGAACACTCAAACAGCTAATATTATCAGTAGCTGTTGAGGCTTCTGTGTCATTTTCTGTTGAATATAAGTTTTTTTCCTTTTTCCTAATGCTAACTTGTATATAACGGTCATTTTGAATGGATATTAAATACATGCACATAGAGATTACACTCTTAAAAAAGATGGTTCTTCAAGGGGTCTTGAGTAAAGACAATGGTTCTGTATAGAAATTATTCTTCAAATTGATAGAGAATGTGTTGCATGTGGTTCTATATAGCACAAAAAAGGGTTCTTCTATTGTTACAAGCTTGATATCAGAACTATAGCAGAATCCTTTATTGGTGCTACACAGAACGATTTTCAGAAACATACACCACATTCTCCATCAATCAATCAATGGTTCTTTGAGTGTCCATGGTTCTATAGAACTACTGTCTTCACTAAAGAGCCCTTGAAGAACCATCTTTTCAGGGGCATATGTTGAAAAACACTGCAGTATTACTTTAATAGAAGCAAAGTGAACAAAAGTGATTTGTTAGTGTAAGGAAATGCAGTCGTAATAAACAGATGAGGTACACATACAGAAATACATGAATACAGAAACCCTCTTGGCCTTGTTGATGATGGATGTATGTATGTGTGCTGTGAGCTAAGGAGGGCAAGGTCAACCCACTGCTCATATCAGACACAGACAAATTTACTCCTAGTATTGGGGGGGGCGGCATTTTAACTACACACTTTCAGACTAGGTCACACTCTTCAAGCTTCATGCTGTGATAGCGAGGAGAGTGATATCCAGGCTTATCTCAGAAAAAAACCACAATATTTACTCAGTGGAGGAGGACAGAATAATGGCCCGTCCATGCAAAGCAAAGTGTCCTTGCCTTGTATGCATAAAGCACTGCTATCAGACTCTGTCCAGAACCACCAAAACGACAATAAAACATAATTTCATAACATTAACCCCATCAGACCGGCCTGAAGGGCCACTGTCCCTGGAGTATCAATCTTTGAGCGTAGTAGTGTAGTGTTTTCCTGTGAAACTAAAGATTTATTGTAAGCAGAGATTATTGCTGGCAAAGTGGACCATTTCCTTCCTTTATCAAACTAGAGGCTCATGCTGCATTGCCATGGGCTCAGGGACTTTTATTGATTCTGTTTGTTGCTTGTTTACACAAAAAGTTAAAATACATATCTGTATTAAATGAGACCAAATCAGATATGTTTTCATGCAAAACGCATATGAAAAACAATCATCTGAACTGCAAAATTGCCAATGTGATTTTGTATTCGCATCATAAGTTCATGTTAGTGAGAGACCACAATACAGTATTATTAGCACAGTATTAGTATTAGTGATTTAGTGGTTTTTGGAAGGCTGTGAAGTGCATTACTGTGAACATTAGCATTACTCTGCTCTGCACGTTGCTCTGTGGACATGCTGTTGAATGCAAATATACAAATATCCCAGGCTGTTTATGGACCAATATCTCCTACTCTAGTGTGTGGGAGTGTTTTTTGAGGTAGTTTATGGACTAATATCTCCTGCTGTAGCACATATAAACGTTTACTGAGGTTGTTTATGGATTTATATCTTCTATTCTATTGTATAGGAACATTATTAAGGTTGTTTATGCACTAATATCTTCTATTCTAATGCATATGAGTGTTTATTGAGATTGTTTATGGACTAATATCTCCGATTCTAGTGTATAAAAGTGTTTTTTTGAAGTGGTTAATGGACTAATATCTCCTATACTAGTGTATGGCAGTGTTTATTGAGGTTGTTTAAGGACTAATATCTCTTATTTTAGTGTATAGGAGTGTTTATTGAGATCATTTAGGGACTAGTATCTCCTGTTCTAGTGTACAGGAGTGTTTGTTGAGGATGTTTATGGACTAACATCTCCTATTCTAGAGTACAGAAGCGTTTATTAAGGTGGTTTGTGGACTAATATCTCCTATTCTACTGTATGGAAGTGTTTATTGAGGATGTTTAGGGACTAATTTATCCTATTCTAGTGTGTAGAAGTGATTATTGAGGTTGTTTATGGACTAACATCTCCTATTCTAGTATATAGGAGCATTTATTGAAGTTGGTTATGGACTGATATATCCTATTCTTGTGTTTAGGAGCATTTATTGAGATTATTTAGGGACTGATTTCTCCTACTCTAGTGTATAGGAGTGGTTATTTATCACTGCTCCATAAGCTCATTCTAATTGCACTACTGTTTATAATTGCACTATTTATACCCACAGACCTTAATCTGTAAGTGACTTTATTGTTAAATTCAGGGACCTTCTTATATTTATATTATTTTTTTTATTATTCTATTTTTCTACAATTAGTGTTTATTTTTTCGATTAGTGTTTAGTGTTTATTTAGTGTCTATTTAATTCACACACTTCCTGTTTACTGTCTATTTAATGTTATTGCTACACCATGGGGTCTAAGAGTAATGCAATTTCAATACTCTGTATGTTCTGTACATATTGTAGTATTGACAATAAAGCTGACTTGACTAAACTTGATTTATGAACTATGACAAACAAGATCATGCAAAAGATATGCAAAAGCAGAAAAGCTTTATTGTATGGCTGAAAGGGTTAGCCTATAAGCAATAAAAGGTGGACTGGAGAAAAACGCAGCTTATTCTGAGAAATATAATTATCAGTCATGCACTAATATGAAATTGGATTGTGTAATGCTCCCACCTGCTTTCCAGGCCTACGTTGCTACCCAGAACCCAGTTCTCTTGCAGCTGGACGCATTCGGATGCACTCTGCAGTTCTGTCGTCTGATTGGCCAATGAGGTGATTGATGGGTGCTGCTTATGCTGATGTGGAGCAGGTGGGAGAGGGGGCAGGGCTTGCTGGCTAGAGAGATGCTCTGTTAGGGGAGAAAAAAAGAGAAAAAATGAGAAAGTGACAGCTGTCGGAGATAATCAGTACGTAATGACTATCACTGTACACAGACAACAGCAACAGAAAAGCCAAACAAAAAAATTATGAAAATCCGGCTGTTTGCAAAATACAGAGACAGAGACAATTACTTTCGGATGTTTTTCTTAAAATGTTCTTTTGGCAAATAATCTTAAATCTAGTCAATTCCCTCTACTGCTCAAGCATTTGGAATTAATGGTTTCAATAATATAAAATCAATTTGGTCAGAAATAAATGTGAACGATGATTCCAATATGCTTGATCTGAACAAATTCACCAGTTTCAGAAAATCGGTAGAAGCTGAATTAAAATGAAGAAATGTTAGATGTGTCCAGAATGGTGGGTGGAGCTTCATAAGACCCTTAAATAACCAAGAAAGCTTGAAAATGAGCTTATAATAAAGGTAATATCCAGAATTCACCATAAACAAATGTGGTGATCAAATTTCAAGGCAGACAAATTCACAAAAAATTATGTAAATAGATCATTAGAACAAATTATTCATGATTTAATAATTTCTTGCACACAGAGTTCTTCAAATATTACGTAAAACATCTGATGAATAGTTGTCAATATTTACATCATAGTTATCACTGTATATTGTTGAAAATGACAAAAATACAGTCAAGATTTTCCATTATGCAATTGTTGTAAAAATATTATGGGATTTAACCTACTTATATTTCCATACAATTGTTTTAAATTTTTCTTTTTTAAGCATTGTTTCTTTAAATAAGCAAAATTATCAGCAAAAAAAGAAAAAAAGACAAGTAACTAGTAATAGGTTAAATAATCTGAACTTAACGCTAAATATACTTACAGCAATCTTGTAATGAGAAATATTAGTATTTGACTAGATTGAAAGTGATCGTACTTGCTACTGTATATTTTTTATTAATTTAACTTTGCACCATAAATTAAAATAAATAAATAAATAAATAAAATACGATGCTATGGTTTAGTGATCATAAAGCAGCTATGTGCTAATCCTTTGAGAATACAGTCATGTGTAAAAGTTTAAAGTCACCCTGTCAAAGGGACATACAATACAAAATGTGACATAACTTTTGCACAGGCCATATTTTCTGTTTTCTGTGTTAAATTCAGCCAATAAACAGTAAATGTGTATTAAAATGTGTAGAAGTGTGTCATGTGTGCTGACATCACTACATGGGAAGGAAGTGGGCAGGGCTTAAGCATTATAATCCCAACATAGCACAGTTACTAATACTGGCACAAATATTTAGACGTATGATCCTGTTTTTCCTGTAAACAGACCTGATTAGGCCTTAACAAGATCAGTAGTTGCAAACCCAGAAAGAAAACAGGATAATTTGTGCTAAATATTAATTGGGAAGCTAGCCGTCCTCAAACTTTTGAAGAGCATTTAGAGAAATGACAGAATGGGTCCTGAGTGCGCTAAACAGATACACACGAGGCGTGTTAGAGAGAGAGCTCGGTCTGCTGTTATTACGGAGGCGCCGAGCGCAGATGCTTGCTAACTCCACCAGAGCAGACAGAAATGAGCTTTTTTTCCCAGCAAGCAGATGTTCCTTGATGGATCCTTAAACCAAGTACTTCACGTTTGATTACAACCAGCGAGAAGCTCTCGTTTAACTAATGACCGGAACCTCCATTAGGACAGCAGGAGAAAGGCAGGTTTCTCATTTCACACCAGGCTGTGTAATTGCCCCCCGGAATGACACTGTGTGATTATTTCACGCCGCCCATACGCCGCCGTCATGATACGCCTGCGTCTGCCCCGATATGGACGCCACAAACATATGCTGTCACAGGCCAGACATGTGCTCAGACGAGCGGCAGAAATCCAATATTTTACACTGCTTATATGCAAAACAAGAGGAAAAGTATTAACAGAGTAATTTGAATCAATCCATCAGTTCTAAAGTTCCCAGGTGAAAACTGAATCAGTCTGAAGGGAGGAATTCTCTGTGTTTACTGAGCTGTGAAGCAAAATCACAAAGACAAGGTGAAAAACATGGCTGTCGGAATGAGTGGCAAAGCAGCTTAACATTTTATTACTACACTTATGTTTTGTTTATATGTGACTTTACAGTTGTGTGCAGAGGTTGGAGCACCCCCAGTCTAATTACAGAGAACAAGCTTAAATAAATGTGACAATTTCTGCAAATGTTAATGCAAAATTTCTAATATAAATATATATACGAACTTTCTATTTTCTACATATATGTATATATAGAAAATTACTTTTAGTGAGTGTGTTTTTGCCTGTAAAAACACAAATGAACTATCCATCCATCCATCCATTATCTAAACCGCTTATCCTTCTGGGTCGCAGTGGGGTGCTGGAGCCTATCCCAGCTGTCATTGGGCGGAAGGCAGGATACACCCTGGACAGGTCGCCAGTCCATCGCAGGGCAGACAGACAGACATACACATTCACACCTAATAACTAATAAACATAAATAAGGTAAAACACAAAATACATATTCATATCTTGGTTAAAAGAATACAGTTATAGAGATCTTGTGATAAACATCACAACATATTGTTTAATTGTTTATTAGTTTTTTTTGTGTTTTCCTCTTTCAAAAAATAAATGCTTACTGCTCTTATAAATCACTATATATATAGTTTTCTCAGATGACTTATAATTTCTGCTTATTTTCTGAACGTAACATATTGAAAAGAAACAATGCTAAAACATACAATACAGCCTGTACAAAACTTATTGCACATTTTAAATTTTATGTTGTTTTTTCCCCATTATGTTAAAAAATAAATGTAAATTGTGCTTTCAATTTTGCAGAAAAAAATTGATTTTGTGTTTGTTCTCTGTAGAAGGTGTGTTCACTTATTCTCACTTATAAAATCAACAAAGCATTTTTTATTGGTTTACTTTCACTTTTTATAACCTATTTTTTAAATACCTCCAGCAGGTGAATGCACTGTAACTAATGAGGTCAGAGAGGAAATAAAGAAACAAGAAACAGATAATGAAAAACAAAACCAACAGACTGGAATATCTGTGTGATTCAACCACAACATCTGATACTTACTAAATAACTATTAAAAAAAAATAAATCCAAACTATAAGACTCAGTGTAGGAGGTTATAAGCATGTTTAGTGCTTGATTTAATAGCAAAAGTCAAGCAGAACAAAAACGCTCCAAATCGACAGACCAACTTAAATAAATAATTAAACACATTAAAGGATTTCTTCCATTTAGAGTAGCTAAATGGCTAGCAGCTAACTCCTGTAAATTCCAGTATATCACGCTAAGCTACACAGATCCAACGCCGCCTTAAAAAGTACCCGGACAGCAAACTGATTAATGATTTCTTATCTCTCTGGGTAAAAAGGCTTTAATTGGTGAAATGCTAAAGTACAGCCTTCTAGCTGTGAGGCTCTATGAGTCACTGCAGAGCAGAGGCAGATGTCACGAACTAAACAGGAATCGCAGTGACAGGTGTCATGCCATATTGATGATGGGGTTAAAATAGGCCTCGCTGGCAGGTGCATTAAGCAGAGTGTTGGAGAACTAGCATGGGAAGCCCTCTGCTTTCAGCTTCTGACACAAAGAGGTCAGAGAGGCTACGACTTTGTGCCTCTGCACAGAACGACATCCAAGACTGCTCGCTCTTCTGTTGGTGGTGTCTATTAGGGCTGCGCTCAACACATCAGATACAGCAATACATAATGAAGACTGAGACACTTTTGTTTGTGTTATTTAATACATGTCCAGGGCCTTTCCCACTTCAAAGTTACTTACACAGTGGCTGCGTTTTCGTTTTGTCTCTGGCCGCACCTTAGCAACCACCAGACAATCCATAGCAATGAATCAGCAACATGTTAGCAACCACCTGGCATTCCACAGCTACTGCCTAGCAACACCGTAGCAACCACCTGGCAATCTATAGCAATAAATCAGCAACACATTAGCAACCATCTGGCATTCCATATCAACGGCCTAGCAACACCTTAACAACGACCTGGGATTTTATAGCAACAACCTAGCAACACCTTAGCAACCACCCGGCAATCCAGAACAATGGCTTGACAGCACGTTAGCAACCACCTGACAATCCATAGCAATGCCCTTGCAACACCTTACCAACCACCTGGCATTTCATAGCAATAGCCTAACAACATTTTAGCAACTATTTGGCATTCTACAGCAAAGGCCTTAGCAACTACCTGGCAATCCATAGCAATGGCCAAGCATCACTTTAGCATCCACCTTGAATTTCACAGAACTGTCTTTGTCAGCTTACAGTTTGTTTACAAACTTCCCCTTTCTAGATACGTCTTACTGTAGATGTCTCAAAGCTGTAATCGCTAATAAGCCTTTGCAAAGAAGTAATAATATTACTAATATTACTTATTTATAAGTACAAAGTCAAAAGATTTTCTATATGTAAAAATAAAAGGAGATATAATCTCAATCTACTGCATCTATACCATGCAGTACATTTCCTCTGACAATATTTCCAACATGTTTCTCTGTACTCTGTAAAAAAAAAAATAAAATAAAAAAATAATAATAATGACAATAATAAAACCCAAATTATATGAGAAACCAATAAGCACATACAGAAGCAACTGCTAGTTGGCTTCCATAATAAGCCAGCAGGTTTTCTATTCTATTACAGGGAAACATATCAACATTATTGTCTGTGGAAATCGACTGTATGATACAAACACAGTAACTGCCCCAAGTGTTTTGTTTTCCTTTCTTTCTCTCTTTTTTTTACATTTTAACAAGGAATATGAGGAAGCAATGCCATCTGCAACCAAAGCATCACTCTGGAAACACACTCCAGCAACACAACAGAGCCTTAAACTCCCTCAGTTTTATGATCTGTGTGGTGTCCTGTTCTGTGCTGCAGCATATTGTGAATATTCTGCTAATACCTGGCCCTAAAACCAGTTCAGAGACAAGGACAACTCTAACTGATAACTGATATTTTATTTAGACAGTATTTTCACTTTTTAAAAATACACACAATTCAATCATTCTGTCTATGCTGATGTCACGACTAAAAGAGCATGTCAAATTACTCAAAAAATGTGGTATGAGCAGAATGTTAAATCCTCACTCCAGTAACACTGTGCTCTATTTTCTCCAACCCTTCTGCATGAAATTCTTGCTTGCATAGTTTATCCAGACTTCCAGAGTGCAGGCGGAAATCTTGGCTGGCAGTTTGTGACATTTTGGGCGTGTCAAGGTGAAAAATAAATGCAAGCGCATATGCATGCATGCTGTTAGCCAGGACTCACTGGCAAAATGTGCAAAGAGGTTGGATTTAACATGAAATGATCTGCAGTGGGGTTACAGAGGTTGAGAAATATGCTCTGTTTTTCCTTTTTAGACCCTAATTTAGTCGGTTCTCATTTCCAACCTTCGTCACCCCCACAGAGCAAAATGTTTTATTAAAGCAATAAGCCACTCAAGGCTGTGCATTACTATGATTTTATCACAAGGAAGGATGTTGTTAGGCACAATGTGAAGCGGAGTGAAACTCCCTTTCCTGTGATAAATTTACTGTAAAGCACAGCCTCAAGTGGCTTATTGCTATTATAAAATGGCAGGCAAAATAATTTATGATAAAATAAACAATTTGTCAGTAAATAATTTAAGTTATAATAAATAATCATCGACATAAACAAATATTCCTCCTTTAGATTATGGTATCATTGACAAGTACCCATGGACTGCTGAATGAGGCGAAAAATGTTTGGTTTTCCAATCACATGTACACAGTCATTTCATTAACTTACAGCTTTTTGTTGTATAGCAATGAATATATCATAACACAGCACTGTTTAATGCAACAACTTTGCTTTATAAGTACTTTTTGGTCACCAAATTACCTCCGTGAGTCCTAATTAGCACCAATCTAACAGTGCCCCTCTTCTCACATTGGGGCGGAATCTCAAATGGCTGCCTGCTCCCTATATAGTGCACTATGTAGGAATTTAAATATTGTCTTCTGCACCCCAACAGAGCATAATATACCTAAAAAACTCATCTGGGATTCAGCCACATCCACACTTGACAAATAGTGCACTGTTTAGTTGTAGAAGCTAGAATTTCAAAACTTTCATAGCACACGACTTAGGGAGTACGGTGCAGTTTGAGATTCAGCCTACTTAAAGTAGATCTGACTGAAACATTAACACTTGAAGCATGTTAACCATTCAAGTTCAATGACATTCTTTAGTTCTTTGCATTGCTGTTTTACAGAGGATCATGTCATAAGTACTTTAATTCAAACCTGTGATATTATTGATGGAGATTAGTTTAGCATGTTTGCTATCTTTTAGCCTGTTAGCTAGCTGATCAGCCTAGTTCTAGTTAAGAACATAAGCTGTCAACCCCTCAAATATTGGAAGTCTTTGCAAAATTTTTGTTCTCTATTTTCTTCTGATAGAGTTTTTCTATTTTCTGGGGCTGATTTTTTAGCCACTTTTCCCCCAATTTAGTTATAGCAACCCCCCCCTTTAGTTAGGTCTCCGTCCATAACACGATGCCACCAAGGTGGGAGGGTGAAGGCTAGAATAAGCTTCCTTCAATACATATGAAGCTCCTCCACATCTTTTCAAACCGCCAATAACCCAACATCATTGCTCAACACGCTTGGAGTAGAACACTAACTGCTCATTCAGATACATGGTCTAACAGGTACTCAGCATCAGAGTGAGTGATGGAACAAGAGCGACCATTCTGCTCATTGAGAGGGAGAGAGGGTAATTATAACCTCTTGGAGTCCCAGTTAAGGATGACTGTGGCTTCACCAGGAAACATACTTACAATCTCAAACAACAGGGCCTACTCAGGTCCCTCATGCAGGTGATGCCAACAGCAGCGCCCCTCCATTCACTAGACAGTAGTTTTTTTTTCTTATGTTATGTTAACAATGGCCCCAAACAAAAGATGAACATACGTATATTCACATATGTTGAATCTCTTGAATCTGCTGATGGAACAAAACCTCATATCTCCAAAGTGATAACTTTACAGGAGAATAAAAAACCTGCCTTCCTTTTAATGTAAGCCAGCGGAACCAGACTATGTTCCAAGTCATTTTGGGCCATTTCCGTTGGTCTATTCATCATGAAATTCACAAGCTATGTAAAGGGCACCAAGCATATTTAAATGCTCATATATATCATACAATATATTATGATTTTTTAAAAAATATGTTTCAACATTAAAGTGGCACATTTTGAAAAAAATACACGTTAACTGCATTTCCTCTGCACACAGAGCTTTCTGCAGGAGACTTTTAGCCGTAACAGTGCAGTCTTGGCCCACGCCACCAGAGCCGGTTTATCATGCAGCGAGCGTAACACGGCCTACAGCCTGTGATCATATTACTGTCTAATTCTGCAGTAGACTAATGACTCACAAACATAGAGTGACTGAGTCTGATTAGAGTGTAAAACAGGCTTCAGCACAGGCCGCCTCACTAAAGATCGAGAGCTAATCACAGTAACGTAATGTTATGAAGTTCATATGGAGTTCAATTACAGAAGTCAATCGATGAATGATAGAGGCCTTATTAGGATTAGGAGGACTCTGCAGTACATGTGCTATTTGTATTTATTCTAATAATAGTGTTTTTTCTGAGAGAGTAAGCACTTACGGAAAGAAAAATAAACAGTTTTTAAATAGAATTTCTAAAGTGCCTAAAACTTTACTGTGCATATTTTTATCAGTAGTAGTAACTACATATTGTCTTGGTATATTCGGTACTGATTCTTAAAATTAAACTTTTAGCCATTTAATTAATTGGGCAGTCTCAAGTAGATAGCAGTACATTTAATTATAGCACTTTAATTAAACTCCCTGTTGCCCCATTAAGTTCATTTAGCCTTATTGGTACATTGATGCCATGTCCTGTTGATGCTTATTGAAACATTCTGTACGGCTCGCACTGTCCTTCTAAAACCTTCAGTAAGATTAACACACTTAAGGGGTAAAAAAAACGCCTTTCATGAAGTTTTGATTAGATTTGCAATTGGATCAAGAGAGATGGCCTCAGTACGAAATTCCTCAATGTCAAGTTGTCATGCTGAGAGTCAACGAGATTCTTTAGTGGACCTCCTATGATTAATATTGCATTCGACCGCAGAAACGACATCTTCATCTCACTCTTCATGCTGATGCTGGTGTCTATCTATCAGGAGGTACTTCAGGGACTGTCTCTATTTTCCATCAGTGGAAAGCTGGAGGGAACAGGTCTAATTCTAAGCTATATTATGCGAATGATGTCTACGCTGGTGTTCTTTCAACACTGATGGCTGGACAAAAGTAATTAGATGAGGAAATAGCAGAGATATCTGTTTATAAAACCAAGTTTCCAAAAGTATTCAGACACCCTTTCAGATTGTTCACATAACTTGTATAATCTCCATAGAAAAGCACTGACCAATAGAATAGGACACTCTGGAGCAGCTGCACATAAGCCTAAGGTCACCATGTCCAGTGTCAAGCATGGGTTAGAGGGGTATAAAGCCCACCAGCATTGGCCTGTGAAGCAGTGGAACTGTGTTCCCTGGAGTGATGGAGCTCCATCCAATATCTTTGGGATGAGTTGGAGTGATCCAAAACTGACCATCCAAAATCAGTACCTGACCTCACTGGTGCTCTTGTGGCTGTCATCAAATCCTCACAACAATGTTCCAACATCTAAAGCCCGCACAGCAAAGTAGAGGTGGAGGAGCAGATGTAAAAGGTCGGTCAGGATCCAATTGTCAATTAAAATCTAAGGTAAAGAGTTCCTCTGGTTTCTCCAGAGCTCTTTAGTGAAGACAATGGTTCTATATAAAACCATGAACTACGCATAATTACGCAACTTTGCATAATTAAATGGTTCTTTGCATGGTGAAAAGCACCAAAAAGGTTCTTCTATTGTAACAAGCTTGACATCACAACAGTAGTGGAACCCTTTTTGGTGCTATTTTGGAATCTTTTCAAAAAGGTTTTATACACAACCATATGCAACATATTCTCTATTTCACCATCTTTTTTTAAGAATGTATATTAAACACATTTAACTAACCCCTTAAATGGCCAGGACCAAACCTGCACACTTCCATAACATAAGAATAACACTGTAGCTCTTGTAGTTACTGAATAAAAAGCCTTAGAATGTAATAAGACTGGAATTAAAGGGATTAAACAAGATCCAAGAAAACAATACTCAAATGAGCCTAATGTTAAGCTGAGTTGTTTACTTAACCCAGTCATTTACTTTATGTCTGAAATGTTACATTTGCTTTGGTCTTGGGCATGAATCTGCAGACACTTTTATACTGAGTATGTGTGAAAAGCGATTTAATTTAGGACTAACAAAATAACAGAAATATAATTCTGATTAATTAAAGTAGGAAAATGGAAATCAAAACATTTAAATGTGTGCCATTAGATGTTCATTTAAAATGTAATAACTTCATATCAATCAGAACAAGTTCTGCGACATTCTTCATTATCAGATTTAGTGGTTGGACATGGATGGGTTAAAAGAGCTGCACAGCTTGTTGAACACTGCTTTTCTTTTTGGGATGGGGGGGTTCCCCTATTTTCTCCCCAGTTTAGTCATTGCCAATTCTATCCACTAGTTAGGACTCCCCCAATCACACAATACTACCAATGTTAGGAGGGTAAAGGCTAGCACAGGCTTCCTCCGAGACCTGTGAAGCCAGCCTTCGCATTTTTTCGAACTGCCAACAACGCAACGTCATTGGATAACTGAACTCACTCAGAGGAAAGTTCCAACCACCAGTTCTGTTACATCAGCTAACAGACGTCTCATGTTGACTAGCATTGCGTTGAGTGATCGTGGGAGACGGGGGGCCATCCTACCTACACAGAGAGCGAGGCCAATTGTGCTCTCTTGGACTCTTGTGAACTCATGAACTTAGATGGTTGTGCCACTCGGGAGCCCACTGTTTTTTTTATTTAATGTCAAGATAAAAGAAAAAACATCCAATTTGTAACAGAAATATGGAGAACTTGTTAGAAAAATTGTAGCCGATTCCTCTGGACTCAAGCTCATGTGAAATGTGCTGATGCTCAGTGGAAACGTGTATTGTGGTCTGATGAGTCAACCTTTCAGATTGTCTATGAAAACAATGGATGATGTGCTCTCCAGGTCAAAGAGGATAAGGACCATCCAGATTGTTACCAGGGTTAAGTCCAAAATCCAGTGTCTGTCATGGTATTTGGGGTATTAGTGGGTAACTTGCACATCTGTGAAGGCACCATTAATCCTGAAAGATCCATACATTCTAGAGAAATGTGCTGCCTTCTAGACGACATCTTTTTTTTATTTTTTGGGACGTTACTGTGACTAAAACAAAAACTAACAGTGAAAAAAATTTGCTGGTTAACTGTACAAAAAATAAAAATGGCAGTTTTTTCAAGAACAATAATAACGCTGATTTCGAACATGACAATGCCAAGAAACATCCCACCCCTGTTACAACAGCATCAGAGAGTGCGAGTGCAGGACTGGCCTGCCTTCACCAACAACAAGAGAAGCAAAAACAATAACAAAGGCGCCATTATGGTTGAGCAGCTGAAGACTTGTGTAACTAAAGAATGACAAAAAACTGGATCAATTGGTGTCTTCAGCCTCCAAACAATTAAATTTGGAATCATTTTCTAATTTACTAATTACGGCTTTCTATTTTTATTAGCATTTTTTAGAACTGTTGTTTGTATATATGCAAATATATGCTCCATCCACTTTCCTCCATCATCAGTCCCCATCAATCACTGCTGGGGAAAAACATCACTCAGTCGTCACTTCTCCAAGTGATCAGTTAGAATAAAGAGGACACATCACTCAGAAATCTCTCAGTGGTCAATGTTTTCACTGATTACAGTTGCATTATAGAATAAAATAACAACACATGAATCGTTTGATTACCTGGAGCAGGGTTTTACACAACAAACTGCTTCTCTCTCTCTGTCTTTCTCTCTCCCCCCAATCACTCGTGAAGATGTGAGCGATAGGCCCAATGGAACAGAACGACCCTTCTCAGCATATAAAAGCTAGATTTTTCATCAAAAGCCATAATTGTCATCCATTTTCTGTCCAAGCCTTTCATTAAACATCATCAGGCCCTCCAAAAACAAGCAAATGTTCTGTTAAAATGTGTTAGAATTCATAAATACATTTCATACCTATTCTCATTCACAGATTGATGGCTAAACATCTCCTTCACAGCCCCAGCAGGTATTATGGTGCCCGCATGTGTACTGGGTTTAATCAAAGCACAGCATTATAATGACACAGCCAAACCAAATCATCCCTTTGGAAAAAAGTGCATAATGGTGTAGCCAGAAAAGTGGTTTGTTTTTGACAATTTATGTCATTTAACTTTACCTGGGTGTTTATGGACTAATACGTCCAACTGTAAAAGCTTTTATTGTGGTTGTTTATGGAGTAATATCTCATATTCTAGTGCATATAAGCATTTATTGTGGTTGGGTATGGACTAATATCTCCTATTCTAATGTATATGAGTGTTTATTGGGGTTGTGTGTGGACTAAGATCTCCTAGTGTATAAGGGTGTTCATTGGAGTAGTGTATGGACTAATATCTCCTATTCTAGTGTATAGTAGTGTTCATTGGGGTTGTTTGTGGACTAATATCTCTTATTCTAGTATATAAGGGCATTCATTGGAGTAGTGTATGTACTAGTATATCCTATTGTAATGTATAGGAGTGTTTATAAAGGTTATGTATGGACTAATATCTCCTATTCTACCATACATAAGTGTTATTGGTTCAAAAACAATCTCAGTATCTTTAGCTATGCTGGAGCTTTTATTGAGGTTGTTCGTGGGTAATATCTCCTTGTTTAGCATACAACAGTGTTTACTGAAGTTGTACATGGTCTAATATCTCCAATTCTAGTGTAGAGGAGAGGTTATAAATATATGGGTCATTGACATGACATGCATTTTTTGTGTCCAGGATTTGTGTCCACCATTTAATAAATACATGCTATATACCAAATTATTCAACAGTTTTCAGTGCATCCATATAAAAATCATTTTAGTTTCTTTTTGCCTCCAAAAGTCTACAAATGTCGGTGGTGCAACCATCCAAACATATATGCTGATTAAGTAAACTATCAAAAAAGGTAATTATATCTAATATGGTAAAATAAGGCAACTTTAAAAGTTCTCAACTCACTCAAATGTCAGGCAGCACAACCAAAAACAAAGGACTTTTATTTTGTATTTTTTTATATGCATTTTGTCACAAGAGGGGCTAGAGTATTGCATCATAAAGAAGACCCCAAGTGACCTTCATGGTACAATGCCAATGTCAGTAGCCCTTTTACAAATTTTTGAGTTGTGGTTGGAACAGTTCAGGTTACCATGTCAGGCAGTCTGACATCAGGAGATCCATGAAAGTATGGGTAATTATGATATCTAAATAAATCTATTTCAAAAAATATAGTTGTAAACTCAAGTTCAGGGGCAAAAGTCTCTAAGTGTATCTAAGAAGATGCCTGTTTAATTTGAAATTAGTCTGAAAAGTCACATGGCTCAACCAGTGAGTCATATGGTGCAACCAGACCAGCACATTTTAAATAACTGAAATAGGCAAGTAAAAGCTTTGATTACACTCACTATATAAGATATAAAATGCACACAGATATAAATGCAGATATATGCAGATAAAAAAATCACATGTTGTCCTTTTTAATAAGATTTTTAAAAACTGACATTTCGAAAACCATATCTGTCATTGACCCATATATTGTTTCTGATATATAAATAAAAAAATAAATAAAGTAAAAATAAGTCCAGCAAATACAGGCAGGTCCACCCAACACACTAGGGGATCCAGTGGGTTGTCTGGCTCTGAGGAAGCTATAAATCTGCGATAATGGTGAGCCCTCCTGCCATGACAGCCCATTCAGGAGGCATTTGGAGCCCAACTTCAGAGTGAGGCAGAAGCATTTAATCAAAATGTCATTCTGTGGCAGAGCTGAGAGTACTCTTAAAGACGAAGAAATATTCTGCCTCTTTCTGGAGGCCTGAAGTGAGCAGCAGGATGTAGAACACCCAAAAAAGGGGTGAACCCATATTGATTTTGGGCTTTTCTCCCAAAACAGTCGATAGAAAATGCTAATCGCAGCAGCTAAAGCTACACTTGCTCTTTTCATTCATCTTTCATGTTTGCCTCAAAAAATGGCCGACGCTGAGAGGTGTTAAAAAAGTTTCCCACAAAAAACCCTCCCAGACTGCTCTGCTCTTATCCAACAGCAGAAGTCGGTTATGACTGTAAAACTTCAAGACAATTTCAGTCAGAGGACATCATTGCACACAATATCTGTCATGGAAGTTGCTGAGAGCTAACATTTCATTCCGTTTTGTCAGCCATTGATTTTTATCTGCTTGCTCTCTGTCTAGAAAAATGTCTTTGCGCTCAGCAAAGTCCAAACAGATCACACCACACTGAACTTCATATCCCAATGAGGGCTTTTGCAGAATGTACATGCAAAGAATTTCAGTCATTTCATGCTCGGCTTTGCATGATATTGAAGTTTTTCTTGACTTCTGGTCAGCTGGAATGGAAGAAGGAAGCTTCACTGCTTTGAGAAGAACAATTAAGGACCTCCTAAGTCAAGGTCACCTTCTTAATTCTCCTGCAGCTTCCCTACTCTGACATTTTTGGAGGTTACAACTTGGTGGGATCAAAATGAACTGCTAACTGCTTTGAGATCTTATTACATGTAATAACAGAATAATAAACACCATAGTTACACAGTAAATTATATTCATATATTTAGTTCAGGTTTGAGTTGTCCAACTTTTTGTTCTATTTTTTAAGTTCAAAAAGTGAACAAAATATAGCAAAAATGGAAAGTATTCATAGTTATTGTCATTTTGCTAAAATATTTAAATGTAAATAATGATACAGTTATGTAATGAATTATATTAACATCCAATTTATATTCTCTACTTACAGGTCCTGATGATCTTCCTGCAAATGTGGCATGCTTTGAAATTTAGAATCTGCTCTTTCCACTGAATTTCTCCACTTGTTTCAATGAGCTGAGAGTTAGAAATCATTCATATAAAAGTACAGCATGAGTTCAGTACTGCTTGGAGATAAGCGGGATTAAACTAAGGGTTAACCTGCCATAAAAAGAAGCAGCAGCTATGTCACAGTCAACAACAGCACTGCCAACAACTTATTTCGGTACACGCTGAAACATTCATGTAGAGGAGGAGTGAATGCATGGCTGAGTGAAGCTGGGAACCTCTCCATTTTCAAAACAGCTGGCTCTCATCTCTCTGTTACACCTGGAAGCGTTTCGTCACCGTCATAACGCAGCAGCACCCCGACAGGCTTTTAGAATCTAATATTAAAAGGCCTATTTTGCGGAAAAACAAATGTTTGTTTGAAATAAAAAAAGCTTGATGAAGTACTTTGATAAAGAACTGTGACCATAAGAGCTAGGCCTTCAATTCTAGACATAAATGCCAAAAGTTGATCAAAAAACAAGGAAAAAAAGCCAATACTACAATAATACTAATTTCTGCTA